GAATAGTAGATTAGCAATGTAGAATAAACGATGCTTGTGTACATCTTGTAATCATCACTGAGCACATATCTAACATATAAAAACTCTACATGATTAAGATGATAACTCGAAATATGCATACTGAATATGGATGTTCATTGTTTGTCTGTTTGAAACTACAATTGCTATTGTAACATGTGATATGAACTATCAACATAAGTCAGGATCTCAAAAATGAAAAATAATTCTGAAAAAAAATTGGATGCTAAGCCAAAAAAGTAGTAGTAAAAAATTGGATGTTAAAGCCAATAAAATGTATTTTATAAGTTTATTACACATACAGACACACACACACACACACACACACACACACACACACATACACACACACACACACACAAAAAAAAAAAAAAGTAACAAAAATGTTAATAATTCTTATTAATGAAGAAACAGAACTTAGAAATATAGATCAATTTATGTCAGAAAAAAGGAAAAAGAAAAGTAAATCAAAAAGCAGCAATGTTCGGAAAAGATCATTAAAACAGATGCATTTTGTCATACAAAAGTAAATGCTGAAAAAAAATTGGAAAAGAATGGAGTGTGTGCAGTAAAAAGAGCAAATTAATTTATTGCTATGTATTTGTCAAACTTTTTCTTTCATCAGTACATTGTTTATTGAGGAACAGAAGAGTGGGAAAATGTTGAAATAAGAGTTGAACGATGTGAATACTCAGTAATATGCACTTTCCGTAACACCATTCACTGTAAAAATGTTCTATGCACAGTTGTCTTCTTACAAACATTGAAACCACTTGGATTGGATGAAAGAAATATATTAGAGAAAGGCATTTTCAAAGAGTCATTGCAATTATAAAACTTTTAGGTGAATATTTACTTCCATTTCATGCTGATAATGAGTGTTCCATATTATCAATTGGATCTAGTGGAAACTGCATTAGAATACTGGAATTTGATGAAATTTAGGATCTTATGTAAAAAATATGCCTCAAAAGAAAAGGAAATGTAAATTATTTACTTTTGACTGTGTTTGGTAAATGAAATGAAAATATTAGTGAAAAATTGATGAGTTTTAAATCTGATTTTAAGAAATCAAAGTATTGGGCCATAGTTATTAATTCCATGCTTGATCTAATGCATATTGATCAATTTATAATATCATACTATATGTTGGAATAATGGTCAATATATAGAGGAATGTTTTATCTACCATTTATTCGCTTACTGATGCTTTAGAGAAACATTACCTGAGCAGCTAATTTGTTAGAAACAAAGGATAAAGACTGCAAAGGCTGAAGCTACAATAATGTGGGAAAAATGTGAGGTCAGTCAAAAGGTTTGTGAGCTAAAATTAAGTAATATAATTAATGTGCTTTTTGCAGCATATTCATTTAATTTAGTAGGAAATACTGCCACTCAGTATTGATATTTGCAAGTATTTTAAATTAGTAAAAATAATTTATGCAGTCTTTTTTCTGTGTTGCTTAACTTTTGGAGCACTTTAGAATCTAAGTTTGTCGAGAATGAGATAACTTTCACAGTTAAGAGACTGGGTGGTCATGTGGAGCAGATACAAGAAAAGCAATTTAAGATGGATTTAGTGAAATCTGAATTTCCTTCTTTTTTTGCCCAAGATGAATTGAAAAATCCATCTATTCAAATGGAAGAAGAACAAATTAAGAAAAAAATTGGAGTTTGTTCTAATGACTGTTATATGGGACAAAATACTGATAAGGATAAATGTGTGCAGCACATTCCTGTAAGATTCTAGTAAAAATTTAACAACCTGTATATGTTTGTTTACAAAGTTTATTGCTGTAATATATGATTTGAGGAGTAGATATAACAAAAAACTGAAAATGAGGCATTTGTATTATCCAACATCATATTTTATCATATTATACAACATGATATCAACATACCTGGTCACAGATCTTAAAACAAATACATTCTGTGTTATTTATGACACAGTTTGTATTGAAACTGTCATGAAATATAAACTGAAAAGAGTTTACTTCAGTGTCATTGATGTTAAGGGACTAGACATGGGCAGATGCAATTTATTTTAATAAGAAAATAAGCACTGTGAAGCCAGAATGATATATATCAGTTCATAAGTAATAACAAAATTACATATTGCATTTTTGTTTTGTTATACCAAAATATTGTTAAGAATTAACTATTGTAATAAGTAATGCAACAGGCGAGAGACCTTTTTCTGTTTTAAAATTATTTAAAATTGCTCTAGAAATTTAATAGGGTACTAAAGACTAAGGCCTTTCATAACGCTTGTTGTAAAGTACGGTACTCTCAAATGGCTATATTAGAAAGATATTATTAATCAATTTTTTGAGATAAAACCTAAAACAAAAAAATTAACTGTTTTAAAAGCTGATCAATAGCTGTAATTGTAAAACTGTGCAAGATTAAAAAGTATGTAAATCCAAAATTCTAACTGTAATTTGCAATAGACATTTGTTTTAATTTGGCCTTCTTCTGTTTCTAACTTAAAAATAAAAGTTGCTTATAATAAATTTCTCTAAACTGCATCATTTCAAAATTAATCCATATCATGTAATTTTTATGTAGCACAAATTATGCTGATACTTACGTAAAGCTTCAGCCAGTAAATGTTTTAGGAAGTTATTAAACAATCAAAATTAAGATAAACTAAAACAAATCATTCTGAAGAAAGTTTTCATCTTAAAGGCATTGTAGTTAATTGTTACAAAGATATAGAACAGATATAAATGGGATCAAGAACAGCTGCACAGATTGCACTAATTATAATATGTAATTCATGTTAAGAATGACCTTCTCAAGAATGAAGAAAATTTAAATTGGCTTTAACAAATCCATCTTAACAATTGTTTTATTGTAATAGTGTATTTTGTGACTTTGTTGCCATAAAAATAAGCAACACAGAAAAACAGAAAGTGTACATTATATTCTATTACAGCAAAAAAGTGATGCAGAAACTTATAAAATGCATTTAGCCTAATGGATTTCTTTACAAACACAATTCCTAAAAACACTGAAAAAATTAATAAAATCATCCTGTAACATCATAGGCAAAAGTTTCATGATGTGTGTAAGATTACCATATTCTCATCTGACAATTGTCAGCAAATTTTACTGGACAAAATGAACATGAGAAGTATTTCTAGAACATTTGTGCCATAAAATGTATTGCTGTAATAGCTGTCCTTAACAGAACTAGCTCTCTGTTATTTCTCTTCACTAAAATAAAAATGAAGCTGTGATAGAAAAGATTTAGCTCCAAGGAGCTACTGAGACATTAATAAAAGATGGTTTCATAAACAATTCTCAGTCATTAGAATAGCCCTTCAAAATACTGTAATGGAGATTGTTGAGGGTGACGGAGAATAAGGTGGAATTTAGTTTAATAAATATTTTTATGTACCAAACTTTATGCACATTTGGATAACATAGACTTCTTCACTAGTACATAGACTTCTTCACCTAGTACATAGAAACCTCTTCATGTGTTTGTCTTTGCAAATATAATATTCAGCCACAAATAAGTCATTCTATATGCACTCCACCATGCATTACATGACAAAGAATTGTTTACCATTAATCTAATTCATTAAAACTTGCAAAATAATAACTTTGAAAGATCATTTGTAAAAGCAGTATTTGCTTTACAAACAGACTTATTTAGATTAGTTGCTAACATACAACTAAAAAAGCTCAGAAAAAGTTAAGCTGCTGATTCCATAAATAAAATAATAGTAATCAGTTCTAAAGATAATAATACACACAAATTTTGCTAGATCTAGAAATGCTTTTATTTTCAGAAAAAATGTGCAAGATTATTCCGATCGATTTGTTTCTTTCTTTTTTTAATAGAATAGAGTAAAAGATTTAAAATTGAAGCTGTTCTTTAGTGTCTAAAATAAGACTATAATTATTATCACCTACTATAGTATTAACTGAAAGAACTAGACATTTTGTTTGGTCATTAACATCAATTTGATTGGAAGCAAATATGACAGCTGTACGTTATAGTTTATAAGTTTACAACAGCTGTACATTATTTAACAATTTAAGTAAAGTATATAGTATTTATCTTATAGTAAGATTTCTCTTTTTCAATCTTACACATGCGCTTTTTCCTATTGTTTTCTAAGATTTTATGAGTACTTTTGGTCTGCATTAGACTTGTGGCTTTGCAATAAAATAATTTGTAATTGTCCTCTCGACTAAAGATAACTTCCATGACTCAAGACTTACTGTCATCAAAGAGATTCTGACACCATCAAATCAAATTTTGCTTAAAAGAGGTAGAATTTGCGCATCCCAAATCAAAGAGATTCTCCCAAATTAGGAGATTTTTCACAAAATACTGAAATTCTGTATTAAAAATTTTTCTTTTTCTGAAAAAAAAAAAAAAAGTTACCAGTCAGCTAATCAATGAGCCAGTGGAGGTTAATGAGACTGGTCACTGTTAATGTATTACATGCTAATTATTTTATATAAATATACTATGCCGTTATAAATATGTAGGGTATTTCCCATAGGTTTTGGAATCTATTGCTGAATTAAGCTCTTGTGGGCCCTAGACAAGATTTAAATTGTGGTTCCAATTATATACAATGCTTCTAATGAAATCAAATAATGTCACAAAAATAAATTTAGTTTCATCTAGCTGAGTAAATATTAGTGGTTAATGATATTTTTCACATTTTTGAACAACACTTTATGTATACACAAGTTTTATAATGTGTGATAATGTTATAAAGAGGATTAAGTTGTGTTCTTAATAATTAATAATGAAACAATATGATTTCAATTCCTCATTTTTGTTCAGTTAATATGTTTTTGTTACATTTATTTTTGTATGTTTGTTAACACTAAATGCAAAATGCAATTTTTGCTGTTTTTATATTTCCAGCGTTTCTTATTTCAGTCATGATTAAGTAGACTTTTGAAATGGAATGAAATTTCTTCAGCTCTATTTGTAATATTTCTTATTTTAGTGATGAACCTGAGTTTGCAAGTGCTTTGTATAGACTCCTGAAATGGCATGAAGCTCATACAACTATAATAACAGTAAAGTATTGTTCTAAATTAAAAGAATGGTGTGAAATACTAAACGGGAAAATCATTGAAGATAAAATTGATTCAAATATAGGTTCAGTGATTTGGAGAGGTTCTCTTCAGCTCAATGCTCCAAAGGTACCTTAACCTGTATTTTCCATTAGCATTTGATATTTTAGTTTTCTTTGCTGATAATCACTTAGAAGATTCTTTAAAATTAAATATAATAATTACATCTTCATTTCATTTTGTATGACTTAATTTTGAATCCAGATAGTTTAATTAACTTTTCTCATATGGGGGGGGATACATATGTAGTTAAAAATGAAATAAAGTGTTTAAAACACAAAATAAAAAAATGTTTCAAATTCTACAATTAGGTAGTTTGTAGTTATCCAAATAGAGAGTTAAAATTCTTTTTTCTGTTGCTGATGATATCAAGAATATCATTTAACAAATATCTTATTAATTGACAACCAACTACTCAAATGCAGTTTTCAACTTGAACTGTTTGATTCTGTTTCATTTTTTGACATTTCAGATCTGATCATAAATGGTTGTTCAATACTATGAGATATCCAAGATCTTTTTCCTCTCAAACAAACTTCTTATCACTCTGTTAAAGAAATAATAATAAAAAAAATTCTTCTTTTTAATCTGCCTTTTATTCTTTTCACTTCAAAAATTGAAAGTTATTGCTTTCAATATGACTTTATGTTCATTATCTCTTAGTTTTAAACTACATTTTTCTCCCAATATAGTGGATGAACATTGTATCATTGAATACAAGCACAGTAACATAGCTTGTCTCTTCTTTTTCCCATTAACTAACTATGTGATTAATTCTATGGATCCTTCATAGTCTTAACCTTTTAAGACAAATGTTTTCGTGAAAATTTAACATTTGAGTTAGATTTCTAGAGCATTGCAGTAACATTTATGTTGTATTATTTTTATCTGTTTTATAATGTGGTATCTTTGTCATCCTTTTCTGTTCTTTATTACACACCATGATTTATGTTGGTATGGGGGTACTATTTGAGAGATTATAACCAAACTATGGGTAACCAATATTAAAAATGACGACTGCATCTTTCTCTCTTTCGTTTATTGAATTAGACAAAATGCAAAATAACTAATAGATCATGAAATTGATAAGTGGGATACAATGATAGATTTTTCCCCCTACTTTTCAACTGAAATTTAACTATCTTTTCATCCCGCCTCTCAATATTTAGTCTTCTATCGTTTATCTTGTTATAAGTGTTTATACTCATAGGTATCCTCACTTATCCTAAGTCTATGTCAAACTCCTTTCTTGAATTTTCAAGGTACTCCAGTGCATTGCTTAATCCGTTATCTTAATAAGTTGTCATCTTTACTATCATGCATTATCATTCATATTTACTGACAGCCTATAAGGCAATGACCTTCACTTTAATTTTATTGTAGTAATTTATACAAATTCAATGTACTGTTCCACACCATTAACTGTCAGTTCATAGATCAGGTCATCAGTACATTTAGTTTAAGTCATAGTGCAATCTAATACAGTTTTCATTTCTATTGAATAATGAAGAATTTTTTTATTAAATATTACATTTTAATAATAATATTTTCTATTTGAATAATCTGTACACATATATGTTTCTCACACAGTGGGGAAAATGTGGTACCTAGAGCCACCAGATTTTGAATGTAGTCCTTCATGTGAACACATGTACCTCAAAGTTTAGAATTTTAACTTCTTTTAATTTTTTATATTTTGTGCAAATTTAAAGAATTTCTGATTAGAAACTCATCAGTTTAAAACTGTGTTGCCCCTGCTCATAATAAAATATTTTTATCTTCTACATGCCAGTGTTTTGTCATTTTGCAAAGTGCAAGATTTTTCAAATTTAATCAACAAACTCGGCTATTTTTGAAGCAATGTGTTCCCACTGCTGGAAATAAGATACATTTATCTTCCAATCACCAGTTTGTTGTCATTTGTGAAAGCATTAGATACTTAACTGTCAAATTTAATCTGTCTTATTGAGGAATTATTGACGAATTCATACTTCTATTCTCCCCATTTATAATATTCTCAATTATAATACCTCAGTTAGTGATTAACTTGATAGCTTACCAAAATTCTTTACTTCTGTGAACCATTCTCTTGCTTCTAGCAGTTGCTCTTTTCCAACACCTGTTAATATGCGTACTTCAAGTTCTAATACTTAAAGGACTAACTAAAAACTGAAATGTCTTGCTGATCAAACAGAACTTTCATTTGAAACAAAACTTTCATTTATTAATAAAGCAAACTCTTGATGCCATGATTCCCAGAAATTAAACCTCCTGAAGTTGATTATGATTATATGCTGCAGTATATGTAACTATTGGTTGTTGTGATTGATGAAAATAAATAACACGTTTTATTTGAAACTAAGTTAAAAAGTAAAGTATTAAAAGGTAAGTGATATTTGTGTTGTTGCTGAATAGTTTATTTTAAACATTTTATATCTTCTTTTTTCAATTTATTTATAAATGTAAACAAGCTGTTGAGGTTCAGTTTTGGCAATACCCAGTTTCAAACTTGATTTTCATTGGTACTTTATAATATAATATGCTGCAAATAATCATATCTGATGGTTTTAATTCTTTTAGTTTTGTCACAAAATATTCATTTATTATATTTCCTATCTTCTGTTAACATAGAAAAATTTTCCCTGCAAGTTAATGCTGTTATGGTCTGAATAGGTTTTGGGATTTAGCATTTGCTTGTTGAAAAATCTCAGCTTTTTTAATTGATGCAGTCAGTCGGTGGTTAAAACCAATTTCAGGTACCTAAGATGAAAATGATACTATCTTTAATGATTTGGCTATTTTTTAATAATTTGAAACAAACCATCTCTTACCACATGCAGAGCAAAAACTTCTTTGGATGCTATCCTGCTTATTTTCCGAAACTTGGCTTCTGTTTTGTATTTACCTTTTTCTTAGTAACGTTATCATAAAGAATCTTTTTTCATCATCAAGCAATATATGCCTTAAGAAAAGGCTCACTCATTTTTTTGTGAACTGAGACTTGTAAATGAATACTCATGATCTTCAGGTATAGAAGCCAAATACCCATACACAAAACCTTTCTTATTCATTTCAAAGCATTTGTTGTTGCTGACTGTGTACAAAGCAGCCTCTCCTCTGTTTCTGTATTGATTATACATAGATTTTACTTTGGTACATGGATAATACTTTTAGACATTTATTTCACCCTTCGTCACCAACTTCTGCGCTTGTCCTCAAGGTTAAAATTTCTTATTAGCAATTTCTTGAAATAACCTTCATATGGGATAGTTTCCTATTCTTTTAGCTTTACCTGGAGATTATTTGTTTCCCATCATGCGTCTTGATACATCACCAAATCTCCTAGTTTTTAATGTTTAACCTGTGGTAAAGAAATATTTCCTAGAAATAAATTAAATTTACTGAATTATTGAAATTTAAACTTGCAAATTTCATTCCCCTACCCCTACTGATTTCTAGCATAATTTTTCTTTTAAAATTTTGTTTGATTTGAATTATCTCAATCTACTGTGGACATCTGTGGAAATTTTTATAAAGACTCACCAAATGTATATTTAGTCAATATTTGTATTTAATTTGTTTTATGTCAATGAATGATATATTACTGCCAGAGGCATGCTGAAGGGCACTAACTATGAATAAATATTATAGTTCTGTTTAAGTCAACAACTTATGATCAAAGGCAGATGGCCTTAAAGAGTTGACATTCAGTACTAGTGTTTATTTATGTTTTAAAAAATGTCCATGTTAGGGAAATGATCATCATTAAAGCATTTACTGTATTTTGAATGCAAGAATAATAAGTACAATACTGCATAGTATGCTGTGATAAATTAATGAAAATTGTATGACGAGCAGAAGTCAGAATAATCATCCATATTAAATTTTAAAAAATTTAATTTGGTTGGTATCATAAAATTTAAATAATTAAATTAAAACATTTTTAGCTACACAAGAGCGGGAATTGGATTATTTCTTAGTGTTCATTGTCAATAATTTTTGTATTGTACAGCACAAAGGGCGAAATCCGGACATCAATTATCCAGAATGATCTAAAATTCGGACCTCAAAACCACCAACAACGTTTTTCTCATATGCTTTCACATGCGCATTTGATTCCCACCTCCGTGCATAATGAAACATCTGGAGAGTCCTGATTCTTAATTTCACTTCGACACTAAATAAAATACCTTGTTATTGAAGAAACAATAATTTTAGCATAAATTTGTATGATCAGTAATTTGGCTCCGTTGCTGTGCATCTGCTTGGCACACATCTCAGCCATCAATTTTTGAATAACATACATTTCCACCCGAATATGGGCATCTGGAAGCCCAAATTTAGAATTTGTTTTATTATCTATTTCATACTTTGTAAAACTTTAACAAATTTTTAATTAACAAACTCAGCGATTTCAAAGCGAGCTATGGCAACTCTGTACGCATGTTTATCAAAACATGACAACTTGAGTAATGACTCATGTAGTGATTCCTAAACAATTTTTCTTTTTTATGTTATTAATTGAATAATAAAAGCAGTATGGTAACATTTTATGTTGACATTACGCTTGGCGATGATTACAGATTTAAGTTAAATGTGAAAACAATTCTGACGAGGAAAAATTTACCAAAAAGTTCTTTCCGTATACTAAAAATATATTTTGTTGATACTATAGACCCAAAGATTACATTTAGGGCTATTTGAATTAAGAATAACTGATTTATTATTGACATAAACCCAGAACTAGTGCCAGGGCTCATATGGCCACACCGAGTCACAGAATTTAGGACCCACAGAGACTGCATCAGGCGGAAAGATATCTAGCGCCGGCCCTCAATAAGGCTTAAGTATATGTGGGAATTTATTTATTCAGAACTGTGATAAGCCTTAAGCATGTGCAAGAAATAGATATAAGTATAATAAATAACTAAACTAATACAATTCAAGCTTAATTGTCTTAGTGTGCGATAGAAGCAGGATAAAATTTATCGGAACAACTTGTCGTTAGTAACCAAGCTGATGATGCATAGCCAAATATGTGTAGTGAATGATAGTAAATTTGATGATGA